GGCAAAGCTCAGAAGAAGGTTGCCAGTGGTTCTCCAAGGCTAAGAGGCTGCCCTATGGAATGGTGTGGGGGAGGCTGCACACTTTATTAGTTATTGACATGGAAAAGAGCCATCTCACTGCCTGCTTCCCAACACTGGAACTCCCTCCCAGGAGAAGCTAGATTGCCTCCCGTCTTGTCCTTCTCCTGGCAGGTGAAGACCTCCTTGTCCCAACAGGCTTTTGGGGAATTACTGTTTTTATTGAAAAGGATGCTACCACTTTTTATTGTAATCATTGGTACATTTTACACACACACACACACACACCATTCTACTAATATTTAATTAATTGTTGAAAAGAATGAATTCTACAACACTGGGTGAGATCAGCATTCTGCGGCTTCCCCCCAGATATCCCAGGGTCTAAATGTTGGACCCGCACACTTAGGTATAATCTTACACAAAGGCTTTATACTCACTCATATTACTGGAAGTAATACGAACAAAGCAACTGCCACCTTTGGTAGTTTCACAAGTTCCTGATTTTTTTTTATTTGTTTTCCTTACTGTACATTTCATAGCTATCACTGCAAAGAGAAGAGAAGAAGAAATATTCAGTGCCAAATACATCAGTTCCTCAGTTGTGGAAAAATGAAGTCTACATTCCCACCTGGATACAATCTCCCAAGCCAGACATGCATAATCTTATTGGTCTCAAGAGCCACATGAGCGGGTTGCGGGCTGCATGCACAGTGACACACATCTTTCCCCTATCTCACACACAGGAACATCTCCAGACACAAAGATGGAGAGACACACAGTCTTCATCCATTTTACTATTATGAATGCATACACTAAAGCAGGGACTGTCACGGCTAAAATGGCCGCTGTTTCTTTAATGCGAATAAAGCTGGGTCAGCATGACTCAGCGGCCTGCACCAAGTTGTATATATAGAGTGAGAAATGTTAGGCTGAGGCTGAGGCTGGTGTTTGGGTTGGTTGGTTGGTTAGTGCTGGTGTGTATAGTTATTCAGTCGTGTTTTGCACAAAGACTTTTAAGAATAAAACTCTGCAAGGATATTCTCGTGGACTCTTTTATGCAGACAAGGGTCCGAGGACCAGGCTGAAGAGACAAAGGGAGGTCAGAACCCTTTCCTTCTTTTTTTTGCTTTTTACAAACACTGACAGGGACGTCCTCCCCCACAACACACAGTGAGGTGCACAATGGGATTTTAGCAGCACTCATGTTGTATGTGAAGAAAGCCAACCTCATGAAACAGAAGTACACTCCACAAGGCTGTCTTCCAAAATTTGGAGTCCAGCTTCCCACTATTCCAATAGTTTTAGCTTCATTTATCCTTCCTAGAGCCAATATCAGTTTGCCTTCTCTAGCCCACTGCATATCCCCTCCTCCATTTGAAAAAGCAATTCAAGATTGCAGCTTCCTACTCACCTTCAGAAACGATGGCCAAGAAGAGAGAGTACTCAGGAAGATCTTCATAGTGCTGGAGAGATCAAAAGCTGAGGAGAACTCAGTTCAAAGAAGCAGGCAACTGATGGAGGAAGAGGCTGCCTTGGAGGATTTATAGGCTAAGAAGAGAAGCCCTAGGCAGAACTGGTCCAGTGAGGGGGTGGGAAATGATGACAGTAGAGATTGCATGCTTTCCCAAACATCTTGTAATTTTATATTGGAACACAAAGCATGGAGTAGAAATTGCATTAAGTCATTTTTGGGAACTGTATGAAATTCTGACAGCTACCTCTTCTTTTGCATTCTCAGGGATAAGAAACATATATTTTAAATCCTTAAATCACCTTTGGAAAGCCCATGAAAATTCACCAAATAACTTTCCAGTCTATCCCACCCCAATTTCACCACAATGGAAGCCACTCTTACGGAACCACTCTTCTTCAGAAAGTACACTGAATGAATACCACTTTGAGACAATTGGAGTTTGACTGCTATTAGACTATTTCCTTCTAGGTTCAAGTGGCTAGAACACACAACACCTTGAAGATACCGAGCAAAGAATTCAAAGATCTTCGTTACATAGTATAGCCACTTATGTTGTTTATGCACAGCAAAATAATTTCCCTACCTTCATTACTCGCATCATGACTCTACTAATACAAGGCTATATTTTTAATGAAGAATGCTGAGTCACACCAGGAATTTAGTTATCTTAAACATACTATTATTAGTAGTAGTAGTATTATTATTAATAATTTATTTATACCCTGTCCATCTGGCTGGGTTTCCCCAGCCACTCTGAGCAGCTTCCAACAAAATATTAACATACAATTGTCTATTAAACTTTAAAAGCTTCCCTAAACAGGGCTGCCTTCAGATGTCTTCTAAAAGTCTGGTACAGTGGTACCTCTGGTTACATATGCTTCAGGTTACATACGCTTCAGGTTACACACTCCGCTAACCCAGAAATAGTACTTCGGGTTAAGAACGTTGCTTCAGGATGAAAACAGAAATCGTGCTCCGGCGGCGCGGCAGTGGCAGCAGGCCCCATTAGCTAAAGTGGTGCTTCATGTTAAGAACGGTTTCAGGTTAAGTATGAGCCTCCGGAATGAATTAAGTACTTAACCTGAGGTACCACTGTAGTTGTTTTTCTCTTTGACATCCGGTGGGAGGGCATTCCGCAGTGCAGGTGCCACTACCGAGAAGGCTCTCTGTCTGGTTCCCTGTAGCTTGGCTTCTCGCAGTGAGGGAACTGCCAGAAGGCCCTCGGCACTGTACCTCAGTGTCCGGGCAGAACGATATGGGTCGAGACGCTCCTTCAGGTATACTGGACCGAGGCCGTTTAGGGCTTTAAAGGTCAGAACCAACACTTTGAATTGTGCTTGGAAATGTAATGGGAGCCAGTGTAGGTCTTTCAAGACCAGTGTTTTGTGGTCTCGGAGGCCGCTCTCAGTCACCAGTCTAACTGCCGCATTCTGGATTAGTTGTAGTTTCCGGGTCACCTTCAAAGGTAGCCCCACGTAGAGCGCGTTGCGGTAGTCCAAGCGGGAGATGCACCACTCTGGCGAGACAGTCCGCAGGCAGGTAGGGTCTTAGCCTGCGTACCAGGTGGAGCTGATAGACAGCTGCCCTGGACACAGAGTTAACCTGTGCCTCCATGGACAGCTGTGAGTCCAAAATGACTCCCAGGCTGCGCACCTGGTCCTTCAGGGGCACTGTAACCCCATTCAGGACCAGGGAGTCCTCCACACCTGCCCGCCTTCTATCCCCCCAAAACAGTATTTCTGTCTTGTAAGGATTCAACCTCAATCTGTTAGCTGTCATCCATCCTCAAACCACCTCCAGATACTCACACAGGACCTTCACCGCCTTCACCGTTCTGATTTGAAAGAGACGTAGAAATGGGTATCATTCGCATACTGTTGAACACCTAGCCCAAACCCCCTGATGATCTCTCCCAGCGGTTGCATGTAGATGTTGAAAAGCATGGCGGAGAGGACAGAACCCTGAGGCACCCCAGAAGTGAAAGCCCAGGGGTATGAACATTCACCCCCACCACCACTTTCTGAACATGGCCCAGGAGGAAGGAGCGGAATCACTGTATAACAGTGCCCCCAGCTCCCAGCCCCTCTAGATGGTCCAGAAGGATGTTATGGTCAATGGTGTCAAAAGCCACTGAGAGATCCAGCAGAACTAGGAAACAGCTCTCACCTTTGTCCCTAGCCCTCCGGAGATCATCGACCAGTGCAACCAAGGCAGTTTCAGTCCCATGATGAGGCCTGAATCCCGACTGGAAGGGATCCAAACAGTCCGCTTCTTCCAGGCGTGCACAGGTACCCCATTCAAGTCTAGGGAGTCCCCCCCCACACCCCATCCCCCAAGAACAGTCCTTCTGTTTTGTCAGGATTCAACCTCAATCTGTCAGCTGCCATCCATCCACCAACCACCTCCAGACACTCACCCTGGATGATTTAATACATACACACCAGAAAATGCATCTATGTACACAACTGAACTGAACTTGGGCCACAGTCCAGCCCCACAAACTCAGGGCCCATCTATCCTGGATCCTTTCCAAAATTAGTTCAGAGGCATGACTAATATTTCAGACCCTCCAAGTGTCCCTATTTTCCAGGGACTGTCCCAGTGTAGGAAAATGGTTGTTTGTACCTACATGACAAGATGGATGCCAGGATGGAAATTTACTATAGTTTGACCTTTTGATACTGCAGGCTGTGTTAGGCATGATGAGCGCGTGATCGCCTCATGCAAGGAAGGTGATTGGTTCTTATTGTATGGCTTGATAATGGGGTGATCCCCATATTTGGTGTTTGCCTTGCATGATGATTGATACACTGTTGTACTGTTCTTAATAAAAATGCTGGGCTGCAGCTCCAGAGAGGCTTTTCTCTCTCTCTCTCCTGAGGCTGTTAGACCCTTTACAAAAAAGCATCCTGGTGTGAGACTGATTTATTTTTGTGACGAGCAGGCCCTCGTCATTACTGCCCTCGTCATTTGGTGCCCCGTGTGACTACCCTCGGACTCTTCGTTGTTCCTCATCGTTCAGCGCTCGCCACGCGTCTTTCATCCGCTTCGGATCCCGGTGAGCGCTCCCTTTCCTTTGGACTTCGACTGATTTCGGACTTCGCGTCGCTGCGGCCCTCTCAGCGTCCACCACGCCCGGCCAGGGCTTCAGGTACCGCTCATCCTCTCCTAGGATCCCGGTGGGTGCTCCCTTTTTTCGCTCCTTTTCATCCTTTGTGGATCCCTGTGATTTTTTTTCACTACTCTTGCTATCATGGGGCAGTCTCTTTCAGCGCCACAAAGAAGTTTTTTGATGAACTTAAATTTCTCCTGGCCAGTAACAACCTTGCTGTTTCGGATGCCGATCTTAAGGCACTTCTTCTAGCTTTGGACACTCATTGCCCCTGGTTTCCTCAGGATGGCACTTTGGATTTAAAAGACTGGGAGAAAATAGGACATTTTTTTCCATAACCATCCTCAAATTAATGTCAAGGTTCTGCTTGCATGGTTTAAAGTTTATAAAGCAATGTCCTGCCTGACACCAGCTAATATCCTTTTGGCTTCTTCGCCTGCTGCTTTGCCTCTTCCCTCTCCAATTTTATGCCAACCATTGCCTTCTTCGAAACCACCAGTTTATGTACCTCCTAAACCACCGGATCTCTCTCCTTCGGTTCCTACTGTCCTGCCACCGCCTCCCTCTGCCCCTCCTCCGGCTTTTTCACCAGGGGTGCCCAACGTTGCTACCACTCCTCTTCAAGAGTCTCTCCGTGCCGCTGCTCCATTGCTGGCTTTTGATTCTGCCACACCAAATCTTTTTCCTGTAATTGTTCCTGCCGCCGTGGGGGGAGGCCCAGCCCGCCACGAACAGTTTGATTTAAGATTCATAAAGGAACTGTATTCCTCTGTCAGGGACAATGGCTTACATTCTCCTTATACCCTGGGACTTTTTGGCACTATTTTCCAGCAAAATCTAATACCAGAGGATGTAAAATTATTAGCCCGCACTGTTATGCAGCCTCATCAAATGATTTTGTTTATACAAGCTTGGCATTGGGCTTGCCAACGTCGCGTTGATGGCATTCGCAACAATCTCAACAATGCTGCGCAGGCAGCTCACCAAGCCGCGATTGCCGCCGCTGGCGCTCCACCTCCAGCCCCTGTTATGTTGACCCATACTGATGTTTTTGACGGCCTGACAGGTGGGGGCAATTTTCTTACCATCGCCCAGCAGCTAGCCCTTGATCCCATGTATTGGGAAGCCACTACCGCTGCCGCTCAGGAGGCCCTGTCCGCTGTGCCTGATGAAAAGACTGAGCGTGATGGACGTTGGGGCAGCGTCCGGCAAGGCCCTGCAGAGCCTTATGGACAATTTGTCGATCGCTTGTATAACACCCTCAAGCGGCAAGTTCAGGACGTCGCAGCCCAAGAAGTGATTGTCCGCCAGCTTGCGTTTGATAATGCAAATGAGGACTGTAAGCAAGCACTGCGCCCTTTGATGACAACGCCAAATATTGCCATTGCAGATATGCTCAAGGCCTGCCAGTCAGTGGGCACTGAGACGCACAAAGCTCGTCTGTTAGCCGCAGCTCTATCCTCTACAGTATCCCAGAATCCTGCCAAGGACAAAACTTGTTTTGGTTGCGGAAAAATGGGACATTTTCGTGCGCAGTGCAGATCCATCACGCAGCAATGCCGCCCTAGCACAAAGTGCCCTATTTGTAAGAAAGGCTTTCACTGGGCTAACCAGTGCCGTTTTGCCGTGCCTCAACAAAGTCAACAACAACAACAAAAACAGCAACATCAACAAAACCAACTGACGGAAACCGGCAGTCGGGCCCACCCGGGCCCAGGCACAACAATAGGGGATTCAGCATGTTCTCCGGTCATTCCACCGCCAGCACTACCTCACCTTTCTCTAACCCAGGACTTATGCCTGCCAGTCCCCTATGTACCACAACAGGCTCAAGTGTCAATAGGGGCTGGTTTTTCTTCTTCAGCACAGTGCCTTGTCTTCCCACTGTCAGAGGTTTTGCAGCAAGGGGTCCATCTTGTTCCAGATGTGTTACATGGATTACAACACAATGACCCTTATGTGACTGTCTTTTCTGATCGCCCTACGCATTTGCCGTCTGGTTCTCCTATTGCCAAGATTGTGTGCGCTCCGGAGACGATCCAGAACCATGATCCTCTTGTTGCCGCTACTTTTTCAGTCACAGAGGAGCGCCCAAAGATCCAGATGACCCTTGGAGGCCGCATGATTGAAGGGGTTTTGGACACGGGGGCGGATTGCTCCGTGATCGCCTCCAAGGATTGGCCTCCTGCTTGGCCCACCGAACCAGCTTCTTCTGTTGTCGGCGTTGGAGGCTCTGCCTCGGCCCGCCGCAGCAGGAATCCTATTTTGATTCAAGGCTCTCAAGGCTTTGAAATGACTATTTTGCCACTGATCCTGGACATTCCTGTCTCCCTTTGGGGGCGAGATCTGCTTGCTGCAGCGGATACCACCATTTCTACAAATTTATGCTAAGGGCTGCCCCTGCCATGCCCCGGACTGCGCTTTCTCTCTGCTGGACCACAGACACCCCCATGTGGGTAGACCAATGGCCCTTGCCTAAAGAAAAGCTTGCAGTGGCAGCCCAGTTAATTTCAGAACAACTTGAACTGGGGCACATTGAACCTTCCACCAGCCCGTGGAATACGCCCATCTTTGTCATCAGAAAAAAGGCATCTGGAAAATTCCGTCTTCTCCAAGACCTTCGAAGGGTTAATGAACAAATGCAACCGATGGGGACCTTGCAACCCGGCATTCCTAATCCCAACATGCTACCACAAAACCATCAGCTTGCTGTCATCGATCTCAAAGACTGCTTTTTCTCTATCCCTCTGGCACCACAAGACAGACAGCGTTTTGCCTTTACCCTGCCTGTCCTGAACAACTCCCAACCTACCCAGCGCTTTCAATGGGTGGTTCTCCCACAGGGAATGCGAAATTCTCCAACTTTGTGCCAGTATTTTGTGGATAAGGCACTTCAACCATTCCGTGAGCGCCACCCTGTGGTCACCTGTTATCATTACATGGATGATATTTTACTTTCCTCATCGCACATTTCTGATATTCTTCTCGAGGATTTGACCCATGCTCTGATGCAAGCAGGATTGACAGTGGCTAAAGAAAAGATCCAGCGGACCCTGCCTATTACGTATTTAGGACATAAGTTGTCTGCTGCTGCTGCCATTCCAGTTGCGCCTCAACTACAGTTCCCTGATCATCTTAAATTGGTGGACTTGCAACAACTCCTTGGACAGTTAAATTGGATAAAGAGTTACTTGGACCTGCCCACCTCCACTCTGTCTCCACTATTTTCTGCCCTTAAAGGCCACAAGGATCCAGCAAGCAAGATCACAGTTACCCCTGCTATGGAAGAGGCTTTGACAACTGTGAACAACCATCTCCGCAGATGTATGGTGGACAGGATCCCTTCCCTTTCCATGGCACAATTATCTCTTGCAGTGTTTGCCACCCCACTCCTTCCAACAGCTATATTGTACACCACAGGCCAGAAGCCTGGGACTGTGTCTATTGTGGAGTGGCTTCACCTGCCTCATACTCCTCCGCGTAATGTGTATGCTACACCCAACAGCGTCATGGACCTTGTTGTCAGGGGCCGACATCGGGCCCTTGCCCTCTCTGGAATGGACTTACAGTCAGTGTACTTGCCCTTCTCCCAGGAAGAATTCATGCATTTAATGATGACAGCCGTTCCTACTCAAATAGCTTTTGCTGATTTCTTAGGAAAAATTATTCACAATCCCCCTAGAGACCCTCGTTTGTCTTTCCTTACAGGGCTACGTTATGTCCTGCGAACTGCCTTGTCCCCTCTACCCTTACCCTCCGCTCTCACTGTATTCACCGATGGCACTAAGTCCAGGGGGGTGGTGGTGTGGGATGAGGGGAAATGGAAAAGTTTATATACTACTGAGCAATCCTCAGCACAACGTGCTGAATTGGCAGCTGTAATTTTAGCTTTCCAACAATTTGCTGATATCCCTTTCAATCTCATTGTGGATACGCAGTATGTGTATAATCTGTTGAATGTGTTACCATTGTCGTATATTACTCCTGCCATTGATGATAATTTGTTTGCATTATTCTCCACTTTGCAGAGCTTGGTACAAGCTAGGACTTGTCAGTTTTATGTAGCACACCTTAGATCACATACTGGTCACCCTGGCTATTTGGCAGAAGGTAACGACCGGGCAGATCAAGCTTTGAAGAATGGCATCTTTTCTTTATTTTCTGACCCATTCGAGAGTCATTCAGTGTTTCATCAAAATGCTAAGGTGTTAGCTAAATCCTTTTCATTACCAATTTCTCAAGCTAGGGACATTGTGTCACAGTGCGCTGTGTGTTCCAAATCACCCACAGTCATTCCTTATGATGCAGTCAACCCTAGAGGCTTGCATCCCCTGGCAATTTGGCAAATGGATGTCACCTACACGCCATCTTTGGCTCCATTTTCTAAAGTACATCTCACTGTGGACACTGCCTCTGGTTTTATTTGGGCCACGCCCTTGAAAGGAGAGACTACTCGTCATGTTATTCAACATTTAATGCGTTGTTTTGCTGTTATGGGAAAACCCCATACTTTGAAAACTGACAATGGCCCTGCATATATTTCTCAGGCCTTTTCTGATTTTTGTTCTTTGTGGGATGTTAGGTTGACTCATGGTATTCCATTCAATTCTACAGGACAAGCAATCGTCGAGCGCTCCCACTTGACTTTTAAGACTCTTCTCAACAAGCAATTGGGAGGCCGCTCGGCTACTGTTTCTGAAATACCTAATATTGTGCATCAAGTATTGTTTACCTTAAATCATTTGTTGTACCCTCACAATAAGGATTTTACGCCTGCTGAACTTCATTTCAGGAAAGAAGAAGTACTGCAGCGCCCTCTAGTGTCTTACAGGTTGCTTCCAGATCCACAGTGGAAGGGTCCAACTTCATTGATTTCCTGGGGTCGTGGATTCGCTGCCATTGACGTGGACGGAGAAACACGATGGGTTCCAGCTCGGTGCGTTCGACCTTGGCGCTCTTCTGTTGCCTCGTCTTCGCCCAAGGAGACACCAACGCCTTGAAATCGTATTCTACGCTGTCTGCCAGTGATGACCTCCCACCTGACTTCAACCCGCGTTGCAGTTGGAGACATCGCCATATTGATGCACCCTGGATAAAGTCGCCTTCTACAGCTGTTCCGGTGTTTCCTGGCACGTCGAAAGGTCATCTTCGTCCCTACCGCATTGACCCCCCTTCCCCCTGGGAAGTCACCATGACTACCAATTACCCCTCCGTGGACACTGTGAAGCGCCGCCCTCGTCGTGCTGCTCTTTTGCAGAAGGCTCGTAAGCCTGAACTTTATCATCAGATTTGGACCAACAATACGTATGTTAGGGACATAAATAATTTTGCTTCTATACTTAATCTTTCCGAATGTTGGGTGTGTATGCATATTCCTCCTCAATCAAAAAGATCTGGCATATTATTGCATGGTATTCCTGTAAATGCTTCATATAAGATTAGTAATAATATGAAAGATAATCGTACTAGTTCACCCCCTGTGTTTTTGTCGCTTGTAGAAACAGCGTCTTATTGTTTGCTTTTCAACCATAATAGTAGTAAATTTTTAGGTCATTATCCATATTGTAATTGGACCTATGAGTATGTTAATGGATCTTCTTGTTTTCTTAATGTTACCACTATGAGTGGTAGGCCAAAAGTTTTAGTTAATAATGTCACGACCAACATGACTTATGAACAACAGGCTATGTGTAGAGATTTTTATGTTTGGTTTGATTGGATGAAGAAAAGCAGCAAATCTACATGTTTGCTTCAATCTGATTTATGGTTATTTTGTGGTACTAGAGCCTACAAAGAAATCCCCTTTGCCTTTTCTGGAACGTGCACCTTAGGAATAGTCATACCCCTGGTCTATAAACTGGACAAGCTCCCAGTGGTTCGTTTGCGTAACAAAAGGGAAGTGCGATCACCTATCTCTCAATATACAGGGACAGCCGTCTCTAGATCTCTCCTGCCCTCTTTAGGTGCAGGCATGAATTACCGTGATTTGCACAAATTGGCTAATTGGACTGAAGCCTTGTTTAATTCTACTATCTTGGCCTTAAAATTAATTAACAAAGAAATGTCAGAAATGAGAGATGTGACTCTTGAAAATCGTTATGCTTTAGATGTAATCCTTGCTTCCAAAGGTGGAGTTTGTGCTTTAATTCATTCCCATTGTTGTATGTATATATCTGATCAATCGGCCAATATTTCTGCTACTATTGATTATATGGAACAAATGATAGCCCATAATCCTTTGAATCCTCCCGAAGGTTTTGATCCATGGGAATGGTTGTCTTCCTGGTTGCCTAATAGAGTGTGGTTAAGAAAAATTTTACTAATTGTAATTTTGCTTGTTGCAGGATTTATTGTGTTGTGTTGCTGCATTCAATGCCTACCCTCTTTGTTTGCTCAATGTAGTACCTGGTGGTATCGTCCAAGACCTACCACTGGAGTCACAAGAGGAATTTACATTGCAAGATATCAGCGTTTAGGAAATGAAACAAATGATTCTGATTAGGTTTTGTTAAATTTTATTTTTACTTTTCATAAAACAAATAAGAAAAGAGGGCATGTAGGAAAATGGTTGTTTGTACCTACATGACAAGATGGATGCCAGGATGGAAATTTACTATAGTTTGACCTTTTGATACTGCAGGCTGTGTTAGGCATGATGAGCGCGTGATCGCCTCATGCAAGGAAGGTGATTGGTTCTTATTGTATGGCTTGATAATGGGGTGATCCCCATATTTGGTGTTTGCCTTGCATGATGATTGATACACTGTTGTACTGTTCTTAATAAAAATGCTGGGCTGCAGCTCCAGAGAGGCTTTTCTCTCTCTCTCTCCTGAGGCTGTTAGACCCTTTACAAAAAAGCATCCTGGTGTGAGACTGATTTATTTTTGTGACGAGCAGGCCCTCGTCATTACTGCCCTCGTCATCCCAGATTTTCAGAAGTTTCTGATTTGATCCCAGAATATCCTAATTATATATATTTGACCAGGAAGAAGGGGAGATTTTGTATTTTTGTCCCCCTCTCAAATTATGAGCAAATGGATCCAATTTTGCTGAGTTCTTTCACAAAATTGTAGAACAAAAGCTAAAGGATACCTATTCTGATCCTCGTGTGATTCAAGGCTTATAAAAAGCAGAAATAGCAGAATCGCTGCGCATCCTTGTATGCTGTATAGCATTTGGGTATTTAGCCAGTGGTGAAGCACCACAGAGGCAGATTTAGAGGATCATGGACTGCAAGAAAATCAAACCTATCCATTCTAAAGGAAATCAGCCCTGGGTGCTCACTGGAAGGACAGGTCCTGAAGCTGAGGCGCCAATACTTTGGCCACCTCACAAGAAGAGAAGACTCCCTGGAAAAGACTCCGATGTTGGGAAAGATTGAGGGCACATGG